GTTCTCTTTGTGTACATCGTAAAACAAAACAAAAATAATTCGCGGATTTTCACAAAAAATTTCGTGGATTTTCAAAATTTTCAAAAATTTAATGAAGATCGAATTTTGATGGAGACAAATATTTGAAATTTTGATCATTCATAAACCTTCCCTGTGGGCCCGATCGGTTCAGCCGTTTTGACGTTTATTGGATACAAACAGACAGACAGACACCCAAACAAACAAACAAACAGACAGACAAGCCAAATTTATATATAGATATAAATATATATATATTTACCTGTATGAAATATCAAATCCATAAATCACTTTTCTGCAGATATGAACCAGCATCATCGTTATCACCTAGAAAAAAAGCTAAAAACATTTTTTTAAATTCGTTGAAAATAAATTTAAAAAAAAATGAAATCTGATATTTTCGATTCACAACGGTACCTTTAAACATTTTTCCGAACCTGAATTTAAAGAATTTTTCAAGATTTAAGCCAGTGCTTATTTGAAACCAGTTTTTGGCGGATTTGAGATGCGGCTCAAATTTATTAAATTCGGACTCCGAACACGTTTTACAGAGAAAACAAAATTAAAATTTATTACTTTATATTTCATTTCAACATTCAATTTTTTTTTTACTTTTTTATAGGTTTAGTTCTATATTTAACCTGCTGCATAGAGGATAAGGAACAGTTAAAAAAAGAATTTTTTTAAAATGCTACTTTTAAATTGCTCGGGGGGGNGATTCTATTTCTGGAAATCACCAAACTGTGACTGTTAAGTTACTCCTTCCATAATACATTGGACAAAAGTTCCAAATCTTTTACTTTTTACTTTTTAATGTTTTTTTCTCATGAATTTCATTTCATTTCTTTAAATTTTTACTTTATATTTTTGTTATAATTCTAGTTTTATACTGTTTGTTTTTATTTTATTTATTTTAACCTGCTGTACAGAGGTAGCCTCAGCACAGGGTAGTTTACCCTTAGCACATTCTGGAAAAGAATGGGAGGGGTGGTAAAATGGTATTCAAGTAAGAGAGAAGGGGTTTGGTGGGTGGGGTTGCAGGTAAAAACTATAATTTTGTTTGTATCCTTCCTTGACGCCGCTGTTGATTTATAATCACTGACAACACTAATAAGAAGAGTTCCCAGAACATAGAATCCTATCCTAAAACATGTCAAATATGGAAAAATAAAAATATTGAAAATGAAATCTGTTAAATATTATTAATAAATCTATTAAAAGGTAAAAAATCAAATTTGATACAAACATAAATCATGAATAAGATGAAAATTTTTAAAAAACAATAAAATAAAATTCTAAAATCATTTTATAAATAATTAATCACCAAATTAAAAAAAAAAATTGTGAACTAAAAATATTGTTTAATTTCACCCATTAAATGTAGATTTTTCGTATTCTCTTTTTTATACTGTTTTATTGTACAATATATTTAAAATATTTATGTATACGTCTCCATGCCTTAGTAGATTTCGTCAACTGAAATATGAACGTTTTGCAATATAACAAAAAATCCGTGAATTGTATTGCTAAAAATACTTAAATTCAGTTTTTCAATGAACTAGTATTTCCTTTATATTTAGAATGAAGACAGCCAAGGTCTAAAAGGTTCTAAAAAGTAATTGAGATTTTGCCAAAAACTGAAATTTTGTAATTCCTATATATTTGTAAATCAATTTCGTAGACCTTATATATTTAGGAATTCTATGAGAACAAATAATAAAAGCTTGATATATATTTTCTTAACTTTAATAATTTTTTAAAATTAAATTTTACAATATTTTTTAATTTCAATATGATATCAGAGGGTAACAGAAAGCTTGAAATATAATCATAGGGATTAGAAAATCTGTGTTTGTTGCAAAAGCTCATTTCCTTGGTCGAAACCTTTTTTCGTTAAAACTTAAACTCTTCAAAGTCAATCCTGCTAAATTATTTCCATGTACGGAAAATGTTGTCTCCTAAGATAGTTAGATAAAACCCTAATATAACGTTACTGATTATAGAGGCGAGAGTTACGTCATATTAGGGTTTTATCTAATAGTCTTAGGAGACGACATTGGAGCGCATCGAAAGTAACCATGTTGCCTATATATATATATATATATAGCCGGTCAAACAGCTGGACCGATTGGGCTGAATTTTTTTGGACACTCATGGNATAATAATAATAATAATAATAATAATAATAATAATAATAATAATAATAATAATAATAATAATAATAATAATAATAATAATAATAATAATAATAATAATAATAATAATAATAATAATAATAATAATAATAATAATAATAATAATAATAATAATAATAATAATAATAATAATAATAATAATAATAATAATAATAATAATAATAATAATACCTCGTCACTTCTGTATTTGGTCTAAACTTCAAACCAACTGTTGAGCTAAAAAAAAATCGTGTCATACAGCACGTGAATTTAATGGTTCTGTCAATTTTCCAGAAACCTATGACTTTCGATCACAATTACTCCTATTAAACATAATTTTTCAGCCTTCTTTCTTAAATACTTTTTTGCGGGCATATACGTTTTGAATAAAAAGTACTTAACAAACAAATCCGTAACTTTAACGATTGTTAAAATATAAACCAAAACGAGTATGATTTCAAATTGAAGAAACCGAATGCCTCTAACTCTGGTCAGTCGGGGGTGACAGGGTTACCCACAAAAAATAAGACGAAAAAGATTAAAAAAAAAAAAAGATTTAAACTGGTCATTTGGCCAGGCGCGCAACTTGGGGGGGCCAGGCCCCCCTAGCCTGATTAAGGGGGGGGGGGCATTGCCGAGTGACGAGGTCCACCCTGTTTTGCAATTTATTGGTTCATGAATCCTGACCCTGAGCAAATTTAAGAGCTCTTATCGTAAAATAAAAAAAAAGATAATTGAACGTTACTCGTTAGTTTATTGAGTTTTTAGTTCAATCGATATAGCACTTAATACACCATATACACTCACACAGACCCCCTCCGAGCCTAATTACTGCCGTAGATCAGAACAGGTTGACAAGGTTCCAAGGTGCCTTAATCTTTGTTTTTTTTTCATTATGCTGTTTTTTCCTGGGAAAGGGAAATGGGGGTTATTAAGTAATTTTTAGATATTTTCACTTTCAGTTCCGCCACTCATTATGATATTCAGTGGCGTAAATAGGGGGGTTATTGGAGTTATTTACCCCCAGAATCTTGGAGGTTATAATTACCCCTGAACTATTCAAGCCCTGAATAGCGAGTTGTTACTTTAATTTTGTTTTTAAAAAAAGGTTGATTTTAAAATTGAATATCTTTTTTTGCGAGAAAATAATTTAAATGTGAAGATACTTCAGATATTTTAGATTTTAAGTCAACATATTATAAATGGTTCTAAATTCTAATGTCATTACAATTAGATGTTTTTTAATAAAAAAGGGTATGGGCAATGAAAAGTACATTTTTACTTCTAAATAATGTCATTTCCATATTAGATTTATTTAAGATCTTAACATACTACATTGACGACAAGAAAATTTTAGAAATAAGAAAAAGGACAATATTTTTTCAAAGTTTTGCAGAGTAGCTTTTCTAAAGATTTTAAGAAGTAACATCCTTTTCCTCTTTGAGTAAAACTATTATTTTGTATCTTACTTAAAATAAATTCAGTTTTTTTACAGATCTTTGTAGTTAATGTAAAATAAATGACTATAATGAAGGATATAAAACAAGTTGAAGGCTGAAAGGTATGAAATGTAGCCTTTTTTCATGAAGTTTGTGAATGCCAGAAATGAGGGGGAAATGCAAATCAAACCCAACTAAAACCAATATTTTGATATACATCATGATATTTTTCTAAATTAATATTATTCAAATAAAGAAACGACTCATAAATGTCAGAAAAATGAATTTCGTACAGTCGTCGCCAAAGTGCCATCCTTTATGGGTAACCCTTTATTCTTATACATTTTAACATAGATTAATAAAATCAACAGATAGGACAATAGATGTCGTCTTTGCAAGATTCCTATGTGTTACGTTCACAATAACCCTGAGGCAGTAGCCCAATGGAGTTACACGTAGTCGGCTTAGAACATGCTCTCTCTCTGTCTTTGTCGATAAATAAATACATAATTCTATGATCAGAGACCTGTTTTGTAAATGTCGTCTTTATGATGCTTCAAAAAATTACTCCTCTGTTTGGTGGTCACCACTGTATTGCTTAGAATAATGAATATACCTGTTTATTGGGGAAATTGTTGTTAAAACAATTTTGCTTTTCCCATTTTTTTTTGACGGAGGCATCTTGCACCATTCCTCTAAAGCAAATTTTTTGGAGAACAAGTTTACTAAATTATTAAAAATAAACCACCCTTTTTAAAACCTGTAACTCATACAAAAAATTAACCAAGTTTGGATTAAACATACTGTTTTGACAGTTTTTGAATTGTTTATTTGTCTTTTGTTCAGTCTCAGTCTTATATCTATAGTTCGTTCGACCTATACAATTGAAAACAATATAACACTTATTAGAAAAGTGCAAAATAATAAATATAATAAATCCGGAAACTAAATTAGAAAGCAGCTGACTGAGTGTACAGTGTACACTCAAGGAG